ATAATGATAATAACGGTAACAATATCAATGAATAAATAATTAAAAATCATATCTATAAGTATATAATTAAAATACAACACTATCGATTAATTTTAAATGTCGAAGGAATACATTATTTCGCATTATTTCGCATGCAAATAACAATAAGAGATTTGATTACAAATTTCATATTTTTCAAATTTTTATTCAAAATTACGTATTTTCAAGTTTCAAAAATGAACTAGCTTCTTTTGCTCATGATTAAACTTTCTCTTTTTTCCCAAATTTTTTTTTGTTATTTCTGTTTTTTTTTATTGGATTTTAGTAAAAACTATAGAGTTCAAAACAATTACATACATATCATAAATACGTATAGATAATAATATTATATAAAATAATATAATATAAAATTATTAGCAGTAATTAGCAAATGAAAATTGTATTACTTATATTATATTATATTGAAAATATTATAAAATAATCTAATCACGTGACATTATGAATAATTAAATGACAATATGGTATATTAAATTTTTATAAGATAGCTCGAAAATAAATTGAGCTATTGATAAAAAATCATAAGTAAAACTATTATTTTTAGAAATATTAATAATATCGGACTCAAAAGCTATGGAAGTTTAGGATGTTATAGAGTCTTTGATTATAGATTATTACTGATTATAGAGTTTTAAAATATTTAAATAACAAATAGTATTATACTAGTTTATTACATACACATATACACGACCCATAAGTGGGAGGGAGGCTATAGCCAACTTAGCCTCCCTCTTGGTTACGTCACTAGTGTGATTGGTGGAGCATGGAAACTATGTAAGTCGAGTTTTATTTTGAAAGTTAAAGTTATATTGTTAAATCTACTTTACAAAGGTTTTTCTCGTTATTCATTTTAAAATTAAAAATTTCATTGTAAAAAATGAATTTATATTTTACTCACCGTCCCAATTCAGTTGTCTATTGATTTTTGTTTGGAACAGTATACAATTATTTTAAATTAAAAATAATAATATATGATAACTGATGAAGATAACTATTTTATATATGCATAAATAATAAATTATTTTAAAAATCATGCAGGAAATATAAACCACTTTTTATGATTCACGGTTATTATCACTTGTGGTTACAGCTTTATTGCGTTTTTAATATCCTGCATTTATTATATGTTTATTTTTTAAATAATACTTTTAAAGTCAATGAAGGAAAAAATAAAAGGTATTTTTAAAAAAAAAAATTGGAGATAATGAGTTGCTTAGTAAATGTGTTATGGAAATATTAATATTATAAAAACATTAAGTATGTAATAATAGAATTTAAATAAATAATAATACAATCCCGCATATAATCAATAATTAACTATACATGTTGGTTGTTTCAATATATTTACATAAAGCTATATAACCTATATAGATTATACATCCAATGCACTCGATTTAATATTAGACTTATTATACGGTTAAATTATTTGTAAATATAGACTCAAATGTTATAACTTATAAATTTCAAACATAATTTAATTTTTAAAATTTTAATTGACATAAAGTAATACCAATTTAATTTATAAATTTATGACACGTGGGGTAATTGAGTAAATATTGAATAAACCTATTGTATGATATTATTAAATTTTGATATATTATTTATTTATACTATTATTATTATTATTAATATTAAACAAACAAATATTGATGGAATCAACATGTACACTTATAAGAAATAATCATTACTATAAATATAATATCAATAAGCGATGTGTATACTTTTAGCTATAAATACTAAACCTATTTTTAATAGTTATTAGTAATAACTAGGGCTAGGGACTTTATGCCCTTAAAAACCTTAAAATATGTATGCATTTATGCCCTAAAGAATCAATAAATATGCTATTAAAATATGTATTTAAAAAAATTATATTTGTAATAATTAATTAAATAAAAAAATTTAACTAGTAATAAATTATAATAATATTTTTATATATGATAGATATGATGATCTGAGATAAATTTTTAAAATTTTTTTTCATCTTATATTGAATTTTTATCTAAAACAAAATATTTAAAATGGTTTTAAAAATAAATTAAATTGAAAACATTTTTTTTTATTTTTAATATAGTTATAATTCTTCTAACCTTGAGCATTACATTGGACTATAAGATATTTTCTTAAGTTGGAAAATTTAAATGACTGTCTGTTATCAGCCAAAATAATTTTATATTTAGAAAAGGAACGTTACACGTCTACGGAACTTATTAGTGCAAACTTAAAAAATCGTAGGTCACTACTACTAATATCTGCAGGCAATCTATCCATAGAATCATTTTTCCATTTAAAATGTTCGAAATTTTTTATAGTTAGCCTTAGCTTGTGCAAATTCTTCAATTTTTGCAGAATGTATACGTTTTTTATAGTTTTAATTATTTTAATGCATTCAATTAGTGTACCAATAAGACACCTTGAGTTCCCAGTCACGTGATATATGAAGAAATAAATCATAATTTTTTTTTATAAAATTTAAAAACTTACTCCTTCATATGAATAATTGTCAAATATGCATTTATAAAATGAAAAATGGTCAAATATGCACTTATAAACGAAAAATGGTCAAATATGCAGAATATGCAACTATAAATTTTAAATATAAACTTGTATTGCTTTGAAACAAATTTAAATATTACTTAGCTATATTTTTGATAATTATTTAAAAACATGCAAGTTCCTTGAAGTCCCGAGCCCTAGTAATAACATTAGGTACCTTCTTCGGCGGCAAACTGTTGTTCGGCATATACTTCTATATCTTATATCCAAATCATTTATTCAGCTATCTGAACAACTAATCTTGCTTTTGTGACTTCTGTTTAAGTATAGAACGACAGAATTAAGTTTCGATAAAAATGTACCAAATTGTACTAAAGCATCAATTGCACGGGTATAATAATCGTATTGTTTAATGATTTAATTATATTTTTGTATCGTTTTAATATACAATTGAATGATGTAACTTTTTTTCTGGGACATCTATAAATCTATATAGGTAATAATTATTTTATAATAAATTACGTGGATTTATTAACGTATAGAATTTGCAGTACTTGATAAGAAAACATTTATGACAGTGTAATGTTTATTTTATTACTCAATGTATCAAATAAATGTTGGGTGATCGCAATTCAGAAATCATAAAAATCACTAACAATATTCTTATGCAACATTTATTGTTCAGATTTTATTTATGTACAGAAAATTATTTATACGGGGTGTATATTCACTTTATGTATGTGAATATATTTGAGTATATGTTCTCTTTATACTATTTTTTGTGTAGCGTTTGTGATACTATTTTTTTTTCTAACTTATACTACATCGTCAGTCATTGCAATTTAAAGCAGCGTAGCCGAAACAAGGCCGGAGCCGGTCGGAGAACTAGCGTCCACATAAATCATAATATAATTAAATAACGTGAATTGTTGGAAAAACACCGCCCAGCCACCTTGCTACAATTCATTATCAGTGATGCAGGAAAATATACTAATTACCAACAATAACGATAACAAAAAATCCGCTGCACATTTTAGCGTAGTATATGTTTATACCGCTATTACAATATATTATGATTTATGATTAAAAATAAAGCAATGGCGCTATACTAAGTCTTAAATCTTGAAGAGATAGCCTATGGTTTAAGTTAAATTTTTCTTCGACCACGTATTTATTTCCATCTTCATTCATTTATTTGGGAATTATTTTTTTAAATAATGTTTTTGTATTATACATTAAAAATACATTTACTATAGACATAAATACAATTTATTTTATCATTTTTATACATTGTTATAGAACAATACATATTTTCTTTATCATCTTTATTTAGTTAAATTCTAAAACAACTAAAAAATACCTACACCAGTAGGTACACTGTACATTCGTACAAATCTTGTTTTAAATAAAAATTATACAACTCAAAAATCTGTACGTGTACAGTTTGTTTTAACTATGAAAATTTTATAAAATAAATGTTTATACTAGAATAATAGTCCTAGCTATTTGGTAAATCTTAGATGGATTAAATCCTTTAACGATTTGCTCGGGTAAAATTCAATTTTTCTTCTAAAAAATACTAATTTTTTGCGCAAACATATTTCATTCGTAGTAAACAAATTCTTTTACTTTTTTTAAAGTATAACCTTTATACATTGCCGGAGATAATACATTATAAAACAAATGTTCATAATATTTTTGTACAAGAGTATTTCCTCTGTTTCCTACCGTTGTTAAGGGCCATACGTTGAATTTGCTCAGTGTCGTTGATAGGGTAATTGTGGTGCACATTGTACCGTCCAAACCATCATTTCACGTTTCATACGGTTAGAAGACAAACGGCGACGACCAACTAAAAAGCCCGATGACGCGCCTACAACTTGAACGACCAAAACGTATTACCAAATATTTCCCGTGTCACACGCGTCAGGAATTTTCCCGGTGCAGCTTGCGCGCGCGCATTCGAAAAACCAAGAACAGCGGGTTTTTCGTCTCTACTGGCCGTATGCATAACAACGGATCGTGCACCGCTGTAGATGATTTAATCATATATTACCGCAGTTGGGACAATCGCAACATGCGCACGGCGATATCTTCGGGGCCGCGGTCCGGTTCGGACGTAAACGCGTTCGCTTGTAGATCGTCCGATTATGTCCGCAATGCCGCGGTGCACACGCGTCGACGGCGCAATCGAAGTAAGACTTGCACCGCGGCTGCGCGTACGATCATCGTACCATGGTCGGTATTGCGTAAACGGTCGCGCACCGTCCGTAAGTATTTGCGGACATCGTCCGGAACCGGTTGGGCTTCAGAGGGGACGACCGCGCGAACAGCGTGCAGAGGAGAGCAGCCGCACGCGTACCTTTCCACTCGCCGTCCGTCAACCGGCCGAAGGCCGTTCGCCATTCTTTCACGACATGCGCAATGCCACCACCGCCGCTCCGTGCAGTATCTCATAAGCAGTCCCGATTCTTTGTTGTTGACGGATTTCTTCCCCCGCACCGTCGATCCGCGATTCCACGCTGTCGCCGTGCTAGTGCCGCATTGCATTCCGACGCAAACAGTTGTTAACGTAAAGTTCTCGTGTCGCGCAATTTCCGCGACGTCCTCCGATACGCAATAAAGTCGTCATTGTTTCACGTGCTCGCGAGACCGTCACCTATTGGCCCCCCGCGGTCGAACATCCGGTCGCTGGTGTACACCGTTTTCGCACGCGCCGCGTGAGCTATCCGTTATAAACCCACACACCCCTCTCCAGAGGTGTACCGGCAATAGTTCCGTCACGGAGCGGTCCGAAGCCATGTGCGCAACAGCATTCACCGTCGCGCGGATTGCTCACCGGACGACTCAGGGACGAGGCTCGCAAGACCTGCCGCAGCTGGTGCGGTCGTACTGCTAGGGACCCATATGGGGATCCTTTACAATACTCCTGCTCCTCCGAAGCGACGAAGACGAGCAGTCGACCGCGCTTGGTATAGCCGCCGCTGAGAAAACGGCATCACGGCACCATCAGTATTTCAATGTACGTATTAATGGTACCTGTAATCACATGCACTATCGTGTAATATTTGCAGCTATGGTTAGCATATTTCAATATTTTCAATTCCGAAGTCCACGTCTGTTCAATATTCGCGTTATCCACGTACCGTGCACGTAGCACGTGGTCTATCCTAGGGTGAGACTTTTTTACGGCGCGCTAAAGTTTTTTTGGCTTTTTTCCCGCCATAATAGGACTCGAACATGTTCGGTGATCGCACCACGCACTTAATATTCTAATTTATTTATTTTTTTGAAATTGTTAATTTACCACTGTACAATAATTGAATAATTTTTGCCTAAACGATAACGTCATGTCCGTTCCGATCATTGATCAAACAAAAAGCATTACTTGAGGGTAATATAAAAGGAAACAACTTATTATATCTGCATGATCGCCGAAATGCTTGATCCGCCAACAAATTAACGTTATTGTTTCTAATTTTTCTTTTCAAGATATTATTTGCAAATCGTAATATAAATTACATTATTGCATGTTATTTCTTATTCATTGATTTCACTTGTGATGATGGACTAATAACCTCCGATAGGACAAAATAGCTATATTTTGGGTTACGTAACGGCCATTGAATGTCATATTTATTATACAATATTTTTGAAAATTTGCAATTATAATTACATTATCCCGCTCGCTGTAATTGGTTTATTAGTTAACACATAATCACTCCTTAATGTTATAAAAAAAAAGCAACCACAAAAGTTTTATTATACTGTATTAGTGTTTAATATAATGTAAAATAATTTTAAAAATATAATTAAAATGTACAAGGTAGACTGGTATTTGTGGTATATTGATGTAAATTCATAGTAATTTAATATGATACATTATATTAAATACATTTTCCAATTTTATTTTCAGAATGAACTGGATAATCAGCATTGTTATATGCCAATTTCTCCTAAGTCAGGCATTATCAGACTGGTCTTGTTTAAATAGTGAAAAATGCGCTTGCTACAAAAATATTTATACTGAAGAAAACGAAGTAATATGTAACTCATCAACTGTGAAAGCTAATTCGAGGAAGTCAACCATTCATATTGATTGTAATTCTAAACAAACTCAGTGGGAAAAGTCTTTTGATAAAATTAATATTACGGAATTATCTTACTCAAATTGTTTCTTGTTCGACATAGGAATTAAACAAACCATCTCAACACTTGGTATCAATGATATTAAAAAAAGGTTATCTTTATCATTGGTGACACTCACTGGTGGGTTACAAAGTTATTACTTATCAAATTTAGATTACGTGACAATATTAGAAATAAGTAATACAATTGAAAAATTAATATTAACCAATGAGTCGTTTCAAGGAATTCCAAATTTAACTGAGTTATATCTTAGACACAATAATATTGATATATTACCTCGTGATGTGTTCAAACATCTTACTCAATTAGTAATTTTGGATTTAGGAGGAAACAAGATATCCAGAATAGATGAGGATTTATTTTATGGTATTTCATTGAAAGCTTTGCTTTTGGACTCAAATGATTTAAAAACATGGAGCTTAAATGTTCAAAGTCTAAAAACTCTGGATTTAAGTAACAATAGACTGATATCAATTGAAATGGATCTCAATAACCTTCTTCGATTATCATTAAACAAAAATTTCAATTTAACAACCATGCCTGATCAACCATTTCAAAATACTTCATTGCAGAAAATTAGATTCAACTATGGCCATTTTACTGTACCTAGAAGATTCTTATCAAGTTTAAACCAATTGCAATCAGTTCACCTTGTTGACTTAAATATAAATAAGGTACCTGAAGATATGATTTGGAATTCACCTAATATTACAGAATTATTTTTAGCTTCAAACCATTTAACTGAAATTCCAGAGACATTTTTTCAAGATTCTTCGAAAATGAAAGTATTAGATTTGTCTAAAAATCAGATCAAAGAAATAAAAAGCGAGTTTCTAAAACCATTAAAGAATTTGGAAGAGTTAAATTTGTCGAATAATTTAATACTTCAAATAAATAACTATGGGTTTAGTTTCCTACCCAATTTGGTCGCGCTTGATCTAACTAAAAACAATTTAATATTTATTGATCAGGCAATTTTAAATAACCCAATTTTAAAATCTTTAAAATTAGGTCAGAATAATATCAGCAGCCTGTATTCGAAAAATTCTTTATTTTCATTTGGTTATCTGTGTTCTATTGAAGATATTGATTTATCATATAATAACATTACTAAGATTGGTGATGGTTGGTTAAATTTATTAAAGTTAAAAAATCTAAATCTTTCAAGAAATAGCTTGAACGTTATTAAAATAGATGATATCCAATTTTTAAGGAGCCAAATAATAGCCGATTTTACTTTTAATCCTATTCGATTAATTGATTTATCACATTTAGAAATATTTGCCAGAGTACAACCTACACAAGAAAATCTTAGGACAATAACTGTGTCTAGTGAACAATTTATATGTGATGGTCGTAACTATCAATTTGGAAGATTCATTCACAATAGAATGCCAAAATCAGTTTACAAGTACTTGCAAATTGAACACAATATGATTTGTGATGACGGTGTTGGTTTGGAATTTGCAAATATTAATATAGATAGATTAACCTATGATTGGAAATTATTTCGTGATTCAAATAAGTCTAACTGTACAGACTGTATATGTGCTTACCGACCTTCTGATAATTCTGCAATAATGGACTGTTCTAACAGGAATTTAACATCGGCACCAGAAAAAATAATTTCCAGTAAAAATATTAACTATACAGAGGTCAATTTAAGAAATAATTTAATCGTCGAACTACCAAACTACGAAAACCTTACCATTGGAAAGTTAGATGTGAGCTACAACAAGTTACTTACCATCAACATTTCTCATCTACCCAAAAACCTTTATGTAAGTTGAAAATTTATATTAAAATATGAATTTTTATTTATTATATTTAATTTATTAAATATCAGCTGGTCATATTTAAAATATTTGTCTCTACGAAATTTTTCATTTTTGTATTATGTAGAATATAATTTTTTAAAGTTTTTAAGACTTTTCTTTTTTCTACAAATATGATTTAATTTTATATTTTATTTCAGGAATTATATTTGGAACATAATGATCTTGCAAAGATCGATATGATTAATTTGAGTACATTAACAACTAATCTAAAGCTGTTAACGATGAGTGGTAATTTATGGGCATGTGACTGTGATGCTATGAGTACAGTTAATTTCATCCATAAATATTCGTCAAAGGTAAAAAAAACTATATTATTAGACGTTTAAAAATAATCTGTGTATTTTTATTTAATATTCTGTTGTTTTCTCAAATAGATTGTTGATTTAGAAAACGTAACTTGTGCCTCCGAATCGTCAACTACATTATACACATTAAACAAGGATGAAATATGTCTTGAAAATTACAAACTGCTGAATACTAAAAGTATATTTTTGGCTATATTTCTAGCAATTTTTGGTATGTTGTTAGGATTATTATTAGCATTTTATAAGACTGTAATAAAAATATGGATATCAAATCACTTATTACCTTTACCAACCCTGGATAAAAATAAAAAATATGATTCCTTTGTAAGTTTCTCTCACAAAGATGAAGAATTTGTTATAAAACATTTAGTTCCAGAACTGGAAGGAGGTAGTACTCCTTTCAAACTTTGTCTCCACTATAGAGACTGGGTAGTTGGAGATTGGATTCCTTCTCAAATCGCGCGTTCAGTTGAAGAATCTCGAAAAACTATTATAGTGTTATCATCGAACTTTTTAGAAAGTGTTTGGGGTCTTATAGAATTTAGAACAGCTCATATGAGTGCTTTGAAGGATCGACAGAATCGTGTTATTATAATACTTTATGGAGAAATTTCTATAAAAGGTTTAGATCCTGAGTTAAAATCATACTTGTCCATGAATACCTATATCAAATGGGGTGATTATTTGTTCTGGGAGAGATTGAAGTATGCTCTCCGACATGGTCCAGATTTGAAAAAAAAAAACCGAACCAAAATCTTAGTACCAGATAAATTAAATCCTCATATCCTAGTTTAAATTGGTTTTAAAACCAATCGTTTTTATATTCATATTCTATTATGTAATATTTACATTTTTAGTTGGTATGTACATTATAATATACCATTTATTTAACTAAGTTTTTTTTTTTATTTTTCTATTATATTTTATTGTTATAATGATTTAAGTTACAAATGCCAACAAATTGTTTTATGTTAATTATTGGAAATAATTGTTTATACATTGTTAAATATTAGAATACAATGAATAGTATAAAGATATTTTTTGTGAAATTAATTAAAAAACTCATATTCATATTCCATTGTATCAAATATTTTTATGAACATAGGTGTAAAAAATAATTTGATGCACACGCATTTGTTAAAAACCACAAAACCCAACACTGTAAATTTGATTTAAAAATGATTGTGCGCCTGGATTAATCACTAACAGATAATCAGATGTACAACTTGTACAGTACAAGTACGAAAATGACCTTATTGAATCATATTTATCTACATCACGTAATAAAATGATTTTAAATTCCATATCAAAATGTGATGGGTACTTATCTCAGTTTTAATATATAAGTGTTGAAATTTAAAAGTTCATCGTTCATATTATGTAAAAATATATAATTAATATTATTTAATTATAATTTATTACATACGAGCGAATCGTTCAAGCGGATTCATTCAGCATCCACGTGTAATAATACAGACTATTATTTATTATTTTTGGCGAATATAATAATGTTCGTTTAACGTAATCATTTATATGGACCGCAACGGTTCTAGAACTGTACTCGCCAGGAGTAGTTTAGAGGCTCCGCGGACACATGTAAATCGAGTCAAATTCAGATACGTTATTATTAGTTATACTGTAACACTGTTGCCATTGTTGTATCGGTACATTTTTAATTTCGCCGCAAGTGTTTTTTTTTTTTTCAATTCAACATCAAGAAGTAATGCACTTATCTGCAGTAATTCATGTTGTTTGCTCGCATATTTCAATCATACAATCATACAAATTTACAAATAAAACGGTCGGGATTTCCGTTGCTGTACACGTACGTATTAGTCCCCCTCACTTGCTTTAGTATGCGACAGCACCAGTGCTTAGTATTATAAACTTGAGCGAGATCGTAGTTACACATATATCACGTCAAAATAAGGCAAAACACAACTCGGATAACTTACTAAATATCAACGGTGACATGTTAAAAATGGTCGATTGTTTACAATACATTTAAAATCCGCTCCTCTCTCATTGTTTTTCGTTTTTTTTTCGTTTACAGATTCTGAGAATTTAGAAGTTATCAAAGGAGCAAAGGAGAGTATTTTTTTCCAAATTAATAGAATGAATATAAATATTATTAAAATGTTAACCTTCTACCCCGTTCTATTAAACATTATTATTATAAACTATTATCACATACAATAAAATAAAAAATAAATTATTTTTAATAACCGCTGCACACAAACTGTTTCGCGTGTGGTGACAATATTTTACCGGAGGGAAGCAGGATAATAAACATGTAACTATTTTACTGATCGAGGTTCAAGTTCACTGATGATCGATTGAATTGATAAATAACTTTTTGATTTGAGAACGAAAACGCTTCGAAAATATAGTATGAGTATAATATATTCCCTAAGTAAACATTAACAAGGAAATATTGATACTGGTTGAGGTAGTTTTCTGGGCTGTAACGGTACCACGACGTTATCCCGGTCTACCTCTAATGACCATTGTATCGGATGTGACGTCACCACAAAAAGGGGCTGAGCATAACAGCGAACAACAATAACAGACGACTTCTCTGTAGATCGACCGAATACGTAATACAATTGCATGGGTGAACGAAGAAGTTACACCTACATTTGTTGTGTTTTTCGAGGTTTTTCTTAGATCTCTTCGACCGGCCGTTGGACGCAACTGTTAGCGTACCATTAGGCTCCAGAGCGTCCGAGTCCGCCTCCGATACTAATGCACTGATCATTCTTACACTCGACCCTTCACAACCCTCATCCGCGTTGTCAAATATTTTCATATGCAAATGTTTCTTTTGCACTTTTCCGATTTCCTCGTGGCATCCTATGTGGAATCGACGAACGTTATCGAGACATTGCTCTTCTGCGGAAATCTTGGGGCGATACGTTTTTCATTTAGGCCCTGAATAACAGCCGGTTTTTTTCGTGATTTATTTTTCTTGGCATATTTTCTTGATATTTTCAATCAGTCGTTGATCCTTCTGGCGTGTGACTAGAAGCTAAATAAAAATATTGATAACGACGATTAAATTTTATCTTGAATTGGAACTGATTTAGAATATAGTTTTTATGTATTGGTGATGCTGAAAACCAAATCGTTAATGTACTCACGATTATCTTTTTCATCTGTAATAATCGGAGTCATTATTCTCATCTTCCACCACTAAAAACGCGAAACGATTTTTAGACATATAAGGTTTTTTGTCTACGCTAGTGAGCATTTTCAATTTATTCGATCGAACCTTAAAGCCATTTTGCTTGACGGCAGATACAGTTTTAATTTCGGCGGTCTGTTTCTCAAACGTTTTTTGACTGAAATAAAAAACCGTAATTTCAAGTAGGTATAAAATGTTCACTGTTCTATACATTTGTAGACCTTTTTTATAAATATTACCTTTTGGTGAATTTTTCAAGGAATCTATTTCCGCCAATGGATTCTCCACTATTTTCTTCTTCTTCGGAACTATTGCACTGTTACAGGCAGGATTAACAGTGCTATCAAATGTTCTTCATCCGTCATATACCCTGATGATTTTTTCCACTTTTCCGTCGGTGGGTTTCCGCATGTCTTTTGTACTTGATTCAGTCGAGCGCGCCGTCGATTTTTTACCAGTCTTTTTCAACTCCCTGAGCCAATATTTTTACTTACATTGAGATTTTTCACCGATTTTCTTACCGAACACTTTTCGTATGAGTTTATCTATTCGCTTAAGACTTGACTCTTTTAGCTTGTCGTCCATTCCGTTATTTTTGTTGTCCGGTAATCCTAAACAATCGGAAACTTCTGCTGTTTTTGACGTATCTTCGATCACGTCCTCGAATTTAAAATGTATTTCGATAATGCGGAACTTTGTTGTGGTCCACGGGACGCGTTTAATGATAAATTTCTGAGTGAACTTGAATGGCGCATCGTTTCCGGGACGTATTAGTTCACAGACCGATACAACTTTAAACTTCGTTGGGTACGGTCTGACCGTGGTATCCACCGAGCGAACGGTAACCGTACATTTACTGTATTCCATTCGCTTTATGAAACATCCGATCAAATACAACTCGTACATCGCATGGTCAGGTCGTCCGCATTGTGCGAATATGTATACAGAGTGTTCGTTGAACATCTGTCGCAAAGCAACGGATTTGGTTTGCCCATCAAAACTTCAAAATATTTCGTGATCAATCCATTTCCAATCGATTCAACCTCTTCGGTGGCCATCACGTTAGTCTTACCCAAGTTGTTGATGATCTCCATGTTTTATCAAAAATTTCTTCTAAACTCACAGTCAATTATGTTTGTATTTTACAAAAGTTTTCGGTAAAGATGAGCGAAGTAATAAACGTCTATCTTCAACATTCGTTGAAGATAATCATTCTATGATTATCTATGATATCTATTCTATGATGCTAATCATCGAATGATGCATCAAAACCAATTTGTTAAAGGCTACGAAATTTGTTAAATTTACGTCACCATATACACACACACACACATATATATATATATATATATATATATTATAATTTGTATGATATATTTCGGTATCTATATATTATTACATATCCCCATGTATTTTTAGGTTAATGGCACATATAATTTATATACTCATATCCCAGGGACGCATAAAGGGGGGAAAAAGGGAAATTTTTCTCAGGTGAAAGTTTTAAGGGGGTGGTGAATTTTTAGAGAAAATGTATACAAACGAATATTTTTACAAAAGTATCTGTAGCAAAATAATATAAACATCATCAGATTCTCTTTGTGACTTAGGAATTAAATTGAGAACGGTTGGGCCGATTTGGCTCAAATTTATTTTAATTGTTCGTAATTGCCAGGAGAAGGTTTTTTACGAAAAAATTTTTGGAAAAGTGCTTTTGTTTAATAAATCGTAGTTTAATTTAATAATTTTTAACCCGGTCGATAACTGCGCAATTGATAATGAATTATTAAATTAAACTATTAAAAACTATTTAAATCCTATTAATTTCATTTTTGGTATTAAATGACGGGTATTGTATAAATATTAAACAACAAGATCACGTAACAGGTGCCTTTTTCAACAATTCACGGTCGACATGTATGTAAAGATAGAGAGGAAACGATTTCGATCGTTATATATATGTATAGTTAAACAGTTAACTATACATATTACATATAACGGGCCAGATAAAACAAATACGCGGGTGCCAGTTGTCCATCCCTGATATATATCTATACAATTGTCCTATAAAGTATTTGATGTAAGATATTTTATAATAATAATAATTATATCTACATAAGTTTATAAATACATAAATACAAAAAAACATTATAGGACATATGCATGGGTGCCCATAGGAAATTTATCAGAGAGGAGCGTGATTAAATTAAACACCAAAAAGTATAATAAAAAAGGTATTCTTAGCAAACAATAAAATATGTCAGCATTATACAAACTTCAGTTGCTATTAAATAAAAACTGAAGTATTCGCAGTTGTTCAATTGTAATCCTAGTTATTAACTGTTCAATTAATTTTTTACAGGATGGAAAATGCCTCGTCTTTCCCCCTCCATCTAGGCATCCATATGTTATTTCTTTAAATCTAACAACATAAAATATATGTTTGTGTAAATTGTGTGTTGTTTACTTAAACAAAAAAAGGTAAAAAGTGCACAATCGTGTTGTATTTACTCGAATATAAAAAGTTAGAAAGAGCACAGTCACGTTGCACTGTTGTCCATATTCGTAGTTTATTGGCTTATGCGAAACGAGATGGATATTCGTCTTGCACGCGGGTAGAACACGATTGCGTACTTTTGTCCTTTTTGGCAACACAATTGCGTACGTTTGTAG